CCTCGTCTCATCACCAACCCACTGTGCTCACACCATGGTGGCCGCCAACTGCAACACTCACATGTTCATCGCACTCGCTTAACCAAACACAGTGGCAAGCCCACGTCACTCATCAATCAACCGCAATGCTATCACATATGCTGCAAGCAAACACACATCTCTACCACCGATACCTGATTATCTTGTGCCATACGATGGATCTCATGCTTCGCAACAACCACGAAAGCATAGCGAAAAGGACGATCATGATGGCGATTTTTATCCCCTGCGTGATGAGTACGTCATGACCACAATGACACTCATGGCAATGCTGCTACTACTATTGTGATAGCCATGACTTCCTCTGATGCAGCTGATGCTGCTCACGTTCATGTCTCATGGTGATGCTGATAGGCATAGTGATGCGCACAGTGATGTTGATGGTGAGGCCATCAAAGACGGTCAAGAACCCCTCAAACAGCTGACAGCGTGGCACGCGCCAGTGATGGTGATCATGATGGCAATGGTGATGGTGATGCTCAAGATCACGGTGAAGGCAATGTTGATAGTGATGCTGATGATGCTAATGCTGCTGATGCTCATGGTCATTTTCATTATGCGTACCACGGGCACGTTGGTGGTAGAAAAAAGAGGTTATGAACGTGGCAAGGCCAAACATGGGCGTGCGCTACATGTCGACAGTCATGCACACGGAATAAACAACAAACACCAGGTGGAACACTTTCAGTCCTTGGCATACTTCAACTTCTGACACATTTGCCACACAAGGGATTATTGGACGGTTGTGCTCGGAAATCCAATGTTCTAAACACATTGCATCACTTTTTAAAACCATTGCAAGAAACAATCTCGCATCCCGCACAACAATGTAGCGACACCGAGCTGGCCTCAAAAACGGCTGCATGATGCCTGCCGCGCCCTCCCACTACCCGCTGGGCTATTCCCTAGAACCACGCTGCTGCGTGGCGGTCGGTGGGTTCTTACTTTGTAGCCTAGCACACAGGGCGACATGAGAGAACCCAATCTTTGCCCAACACATGCGCATACCACAAATCCCCTGGGGCGCCCCGCTGAGTTAGCACCCAGTGGTATGGGCGCCCCCCGCTATACCACCCCCCGCAATTGCACCCCCTTGCGCCCCTTTGGCCCACCTCCGGGGTGGTGCATTCCCTCGAGGTGGGTTTTGCGAGCAAACCCCCATGGTAGGGTTAGGGGCAAGGCCCTCCTCTGCGGGACTACCCATTTGCTTTTCCCAGGGAGACCCTTCCTATTCCAGAAACGCACTCGGCCCTCCCCGTCCATGGTCCCCGCATCCACCTCCGGGGGGCGCTCTCTCTTGAGCACCCTCTTGCAAACATGCTGTCCGGGCAGAATAAGAACTCTGCCCCTCGCTTCCTGATCCCCCTGGCTGATCCCGAACAATCCCCTTGGGATTGTCTTCGCCGCCGTGTCCCTGCGACCCCCTCTGCGGAGTCCCATCGCTTGCCATGGGCTGAACTGCCCCATCGATGGGCATTGCTCCAGTTTCTCGACCTAGGGCCCTCTGGCAGGTGCCCCTGGTCCATTCGGGTTGGTTGCCGGGCATTCGCGCAGCGTCTCAGCCAGTCAGTCGGCATGTGGGTGGCTGGTGTCGGGTGCGGGTCTCACACGTCATGGTGCTTCCTGGGTGCTTCCCGCGCTGTGGGTGAATAGCTGGGCGGGATTACGTGGTCGTAATCCCCTCGCTGGGGTGCGTCCGGGCATAAGATTTATATGGCATGGCAGCCATCTATTTATTTAGATTGGCTTCATTTATCAATGCCCCGAACAGCGTAAAACAACAGCGATCCTTGTAATCACTGATGCTCGTTGCTGAGGGCATTGCACTTGACTTGAGGATCCACAGCCACTCTTCGACAGAGCCAGAACATCTCCAGCATGTGAGACGCTGGTGCTGGCGGGGGGGCCAAGACGTGGCAGCTGTCACGTCCACACAACGGCCTGCTGGTGTGGTGACGGGCTGTACTTCTTACACCAGCAGCTGACGGACCTGCCGCCACATGACAACGAACTATCATACCGCTAGGGGAAAAGGCTATGTCAATTTTGGTACGCTTAGCGTCAAGGGGGCGAAATGGGCATCCTTTCGTCTCGTGTCCATGATTGTGGCGATTTCTGCAAGTTTTCAGCGTCACAGATATGGAACCGCCCACCAGCGAAACTTGAGAGCAAGTACGATAAATTCGCCATTGTCCTGCCCTCACGACAACGCACATAGTCAAGGGAATTGCATCCTAGATATCGTGCCGGGAACACTTTCCCGTTTGCCACCATCAGATGATATACTGGTCGTTAGTGCTGGCCTCGATCTGCACCACCCGATGGCGACATTCCGTGGTGCTGAGCATCTGCGCACACAGAGCGAGTCGCCGCTGCACACACGTCCAATGGCGAAACTCGGCGTGTGGCTGACTCCAGGGTGCGAGGGCGGGAAGCAATTAATCAGAGGTTAGCAAACGCGGTCTCCAATACACACCCATGACGTAAGCAGAGATGGCCGCTGTGTGCACAACATGGAAAGTTATCACAGTGCACAAACGGACAACTGCTGCAAGCTTTGAGTCTCAACCCAAATCCCCTGGCCACGCCCCATGCTAAAAAGCATCGACAATAAGCACAGATCCCGCCAAGCGATGTGCCAATACAACGATTGCCAAGAAAAGCTTGGGGCCTGGTGCCTCTTCCCCTGTTGCAACGAGTGCAGTACGGTGACAGAGTCTATCCACTGCAAGGTGTGTGCCCTTGCCGCCCGAGCACACAAATCCATCCCTGCAAGCCATCGCCACTTTTCCCATCCTCTTGGTTCTGGTCCGTGCTGCAGCCGCACATGACATCATCAGATGACAGAGTCAAGCGCCAAGACCATCCATCGCCGGCAGCCCACTGATCCAGGGCGCACAATGCAGTCATTCTTCATTCCAGCCGCCATCTATTCAGTGCTGGTGTACGCACGGACTGCAATGTCGTTTCCAGGTTTTGACAGAACACGACGAGTGTGAGTCCCTCATCCAAATGAACTGTCACACTGAAGTAACCAAGCATGCTATTGAGAAGAGATTTGGCTGTGGACTCGCTGACAACAGCTATTCTGCACCAGGGCCACAACACTCACCCCCACCAACCTACAATTGATCGAGTCATGGATGGCTCAACGGACAGCTTTTGCCTCCCCAGCCCCCACCCCCACCCCCACCCCCACCCCCACCCCCACCCCCACCCCCAATCCCCACCCAGCCCAGCCCAACCCCCAGCTACCCTCCTCGTGCTTAGTAAATGGTTGCCCCCCCCCTCGCTCACCCCCAGTCCCGTTGCACCCATTCACCCTTGCAAAATCGCCCATCTACTAACAACAGACTAATCAAGGGTGCAGTTTTGGGGATATTCACACAAATTCCAAGGTTGCCTCAGCCTAAATGCCACTAACCATGGACAGCCAGCCCCGCTCCCTAGACGACCCCCACATCCCTCGCTACCACACCCCTGAAGCACACAGGAAAAGAAAAAGTGTGCAGGAATGCAAACACACCACCTTCTGGAGCTTTGGCTAATGTCCTATTCCTAGCCAGCACCGGCACCAGTGTGCAGCACACCTACAAATTTTCCAACCTAATGTTGCCCGTCACTGTCCACTCTCAACTAAAGTGATGCTCGTGTTTGAAATCGGCCACGACAAAACAGTCAGCGTGCATAGACCTCTGGAACCCCCTCCCATTTGTCAATGTGAAAATTAGCACTGGTTGATGTGTTTATTGTAAATATTGTACAGCCTAGGTGGCCATGCTTCCTCTCCCACTGATACTGGCGCCCTTTGGGGTGTTCCGCACTGCCAAGATTGTTAACAATCCCCATATGAGGTCCCCAACAACTGTTCCCATGTCAGCCCCAATCAACAGTGCCTCACCCCTTCACATGCACACGGTATTCCATCCGGTCAGATTTTTCTGTGTAATATGAGATCATCAATGACAACACATATCCAGAGAGCAGGACAAGGGGACCCTGCACGATCGTCCACCAGCTCTCGCACCAGGTGCTCACAACCATGGCCACGATGCAAATGAGCGTGTCCAGAGTGCTCAAGGTTAGATGCATAGTAAATGGCACCTGCACAGCACATCTCACCACTGAGCGCTGCATAACACAACGACTGTTGGCATCTGTATTTCATAGTCAAATCGCTCAAAGCATTGACACCATGGCAGCAGCCCAGGATGCTGCAACAATGGACTGTTGCAAATGATGAGTTCTGTCCAAGACTGCCTTCTTCCCACAGCAGTCCTCCAGCACTCTCAAGGCAGTGGTGCTACAAGGTGAGGGGTGATTCACAGATGTAATACCACGAAAATATGTATATGGCAAGGAGTGGCACAGACACCTATTCTGCGCACAGAATGTGTCCCAGGCGACAGTCCAGAGAGAAAACACAGCGTTTCAGGTACACGACAGGTTGCAGCAAGGACAAGAAGTCGGAACAACGAAATTCTCAAGGTTGCCAACGTCAGTAATGAGGCAATGTCTGACCACAGTTTTTTCCTTTGACTACCATCTACATGCAATGTTAACGAGCGGTGAGCGCATAAAATCAACTGCAGATGGACAAAAAAAGTTTCTTGCTGACAGGGACACCAAAGGCCTTTGATTTGGCACTCGTGAAGAACAGGCACTTGCTGAAGAAAACGTGCAAGGCATAGTGGAAACACAACAGCTGCAGAGAGCTTCCAATTTTCAGCTCATGAAAACACTGAAACGCCCTGTAATATAGGGGCAGGGGTTGTCGTAATTGTGCTATCCCTTCACCCCGACCATCCATTACCCCAGAGCAACATGCATAAACGAATAGGGTGCATTCACAGGCAGAACTGCATGAATGCACAGGAAATTCCACTTCCTTGCTTTTCAGCCTCAACTGAATTGGGCCTGAATCCACTCAATTGCACGGTGTGCAACAACTCAACAATGTGTCACAGCACCGGGTAAATGACACCCACCTTCAACACAATAGTTTTGACAAGCACAGTCCACAAGAGGAAGAATAACGTTGTCCATGGGTGCATAGCAGCCTCAGCCATCTCCTTCCTCCTTGTTGCCCATCCCAGCCAAGCTACTGTCCTCACTGCCCAGCTCATGATGATGATCGGCTCCCTGTTGCTGATATAGGTGCTCTGAGAGGCAACCCAGCACACAAGGGACAGACGGAGGTGCATGACCAGGGGGCACATGTACAGGCACCTCCCAGTCTCTCCCAGGAGGGAGACCATGGGCAGGAGGCACAGGCCCATCACCATGCCTGCAAGGTCCATGAGCACTGCCCGCTGGCTGAAGTGGTAGCGGTATTGGGACTCTATGTTGGGGTCCGTAAACCACAGCCCGGGCTGCAAAGGGTAATGTGGCTTGTCTGGGAACAAGCTGCCTGGTGACACCTCAGTGTGCTGATTTGTGAGGACAATGTTCGCCTGTTCAAACTTTGCCAGCAAGTATTCTTCTGTCTCTCTGGCATTGCACTGCTCAAGAAAATGTGCGACATGCAGGAACACCCTCATATAGTCAGTCCGCTGAGGTCCTTCGTACTGCATGAGCTCCCACAGCTCGTCAGCATCAGGTTCGAGCAAAAAGTGCATGTCCAGCGCAAAGGGCTTGAAGTGATTTGCCCAGGCCTCACTTTCGACAGACAGAGCGCTGGGATCCTGTGGCAAGCCGTCAGAGCTGCCCATCGACTTGCTGCCCATCGACTTGGAGTTGTGGCTGCACCAGAGGGCCTGTATTGTCCTCTGGAAAGCTTCATTCAGCTCAGTTGCAGCTGGGTCTGGAAGACTCAGGAATGGTGCCAACCCTCCGACAAAAGTGCCATGTTTAGGCTCAACCCCAATGGTGTGCAGATAGCCCACATCTGCCCCTTCCTCCTTTGTGAACCGCAGCCTGTACCAGTGCATGCACACACCAGAGGTCAACTATTGCAAATCATGTATGTGGATCACAACCATTCCCACAGTGATCATAATAGGGTGCATGTCACAACTTGCTGTCTCAAGTGACCGGGTTTTAACAACTACAAGGACTGCAGACACCAAGTTTTTGCCATTCTGCAAGAGCTCTGATGCTTCCCCTCGATTACAAATCGCCTGAAGAAAAATCCCAACATGCTGTCGTGCTCTGTACATCGTTAGTCCCTGCATGTAGGCAAATAGCCAAGGATGCCTCCTGTTCTCCCCGCTATGCATGTGTGCATTTTGGCACGTCCAGCAGAAGCGAGACCTCCAGAGCACAAATCGTTTCCATGGCATACAAGGGGACCACACAGTGCCATAGACAAGTCTCAGGATGTACAATCCGCAACCTCGTACCTCAGGTTGTCCTGAATGCTGCCCACTCTGCAATCCAACTCCTCCCTAATGCAGTTATTGTACACCATCACAAGTTTCAGCGACTCCCAGACGCCCTTGGCCTCAGACAAGAACACAGTCAGCTCCCCAACGGACCCCTCAGCTTCCCACATGCAGGCTGGCCTCAACAGCATCACCTCGGGGACTTCCAGGGTGACACCACTGCGGTTGTGGTAGTCAAAGTTTTTCAGTGCCGCATTCTCGTAGGTGGCCTTAAAATCGCCCATGATCACCTCCATCGGGTTCTTTTGAAGCTCCTCAGGCAAGCACTCGAGCAGGCGCTTTGAGTCGTTGCTGTCCGCTTTGCCGTCGCTGCAGCCCTCCTGCGGCTCCATCACCTCTGCGATGAAGAGCAGGCAGCCGCGCGCGACAACCGCCTTTGCGGCGACGCACCGCCCGCTACGGTAGGTGGCCGCCAGTCTCTCTGAGAACTTGCGGGCCAATTCCTGCAGTTTCTCGTCAGACACGTCCCCCTCGTTCTTCAACTGCGCGACACAAGAGCAACAGCATCAGCAACACACACCAACAGGTGCTCCCACGTCGATGAAGAATACAGACGTCGGCGTTTGCTTCCCGTCGCGAGTGGTGCTGGTGGCGTGGATCCAGAGCATCCGTGCAACTAACTGGTTTACGACGCTTTCAAGGGCGTGGCAGCGGCGGCAGCTCTGATCCGTCCACGAGCCCTTGGCTAGTGCAACAGAGAACCCTGAAGAAAAGGAAGCTTCCAAGCGGCCGGGCGGCGCCTTTGGCCACCCAAACGACAAGACGTCGCGAAGGGACTGAAGGTGAAGCTATACATCCAAAAAACCTGCCGCCGCACTGCCCACCAAAGTCAGCGCTCAGGCGTCGGCCCGGCGGAAATCAAGCGCCGACGCACGCCCGCGCACCTTGATGACCTTCGTCTGGGAATGCACCAACGGCCTGTAGTGGATAAAATCAGAAGGCTCCCCGGGGGAAGACTGCTGCCGTTCCGCCAGCAGTGGCTGAACATTAAACGTGATCTTGTCCCTCACGGCGGCCTTCTTCTCCTGCGCGACAACTTGCCGCTTCCTCACGATGGCCTGTCCCTGTTTCTCCCGTGCCTGTTTCTCCTCCCACATCCTGCCCCCGTCCTCGTCGACGCCGGACGGCACCGGCGCCACCGGCGTCGTGTCACTGGACGTGCCCTCGCCCTGCGGATCGACACTGAGGGGCGGACTCTTGACGGGCCCCACCCGATCGCTGTGCTCCATCACCACCCACGCCTCCAGGCCCACGGCGCACAGGCAGGGCGCCAGCAGAGCGCAGAAGACCACCAGCACCCTGTCCCCCCAGCTCCAGTCGTATATCGGGATCAACCACAGGCACGCCGTGGAAAACAGCTGCAGTCCGAACTGCCACTGCCTCGAGACCTGGGCGCCACATCCGGGGCCGGTCAGCGGCCTGCACTGCGCGACGACTCGAAACCGTCCGGCCAACGGCCATGCCCACGGCCCCGGCGGCGGAGCTCACTCACCCAAGGCGAGCGGGCATGGGCGCAATGACGGCCACGGCGCCGGGTGGAATCGATAGCGGCCCGTGGCGCCCCCCCCCCCGCGCTGTACTTCGGCGCAGCGGCTCAGGCCACCGCCATCGGCAGCGCGTCCAAAACTTCGCCCACCGCCCAGCCGCGAGAATCGACTGCTCCCAGGGCGTTAACGAGCTGCACCCGTCCGCGCCCCGTCCACCACCGCCCCCTAACCGGAGCGCATCCGCCTACGATGGGACCGCACCCGCCCCGGCGGTACCGCAGCCCACCTGATAGGAGCCCGTGTAGAGCAGGAAGGTGAACAGCCACGACACGTGCGGCGGGCGGGCGAAGGCCGGGCACTCGCCCGCTTCAAGCCCCGCGCAGCTCCCAACGCCCCCGCCCAGCAGGGCAGTCGCGGCCGCCAGCAGCCGGATCGAAACGAACGCGGCCTCCCGCACATTGCGGATATAGAACTTGAACCCGCTGGAATCTCGGTCCTGGCCACCCTTGTACAAGTAGGTCGCCAGAGGCACGGCGTGCAGGCACACCAGCGTCCTTCGGATCGCGCACAGCGCCCAGGCGCCGCCTGGAAAACCCCAATGCAGACCCCCCCCGCCCGCCAAGGGCGAGCAAGAGAACAGGGACGCGTCCGGGGTGCGGTGGACGAAGATGACATAGTATCCGATCAGGAAGAGGGCGGCGTAGAGGGCGTCGACGGCTGGCCGCTGGGCGCCCACCCAGTCCCAGTACGTCGCGTTGCTCTCCAGGGCCTTGACGATGGCCAGCAGGCCGGGCAGGCCGGACCGCTGCCACCGGCGGGGCACGCCGCTTTGGCGCAGTCCCTGTGCAGGCACTCGCACCGGCATGACTGTTCCTTGGCACGACCCCCCGGGCGCACGGGCCACCCCGACGCGACTGGGCAAGACTCCGCTGCGGGGGGCCTGGGGAGTGTTATCCCCACCGCTGGACCCTCCGGTTCATCCCAACCAGGGCTCCACCGCATGGGGCTCTGGCACCCGGGCATGTCGGGCTGGGAGGGTGGCCGTGTGTACCTTGGTGCCGGCCTCGCCTGACTGCGCCTGATGGCTTTACGTCACGGGCAATGTGGATGCTCGTTGGAGCGCTCGTTCATGGCCTTTGCGCGAGGACGAGCATCACGGGCGGTGACGTCAGGGCCGTGGTGTACGTACGCGGGTTGAATTTTCCGAATGTTGAAGGTAAAGACTACGGTGGGGTTGTACTGGCCGGTGTGAGAGCGAGTCCCTTGTATCAGCCACTCAATCATTGCATCTGGAAGAAAGGAGATTTGGAGGCGTTTGAGCGAGCTTTGACGCCCACACAAAGGCCACACACGAAGCCATTTCTCAACTGAGAATGACGTTTGCCTAATTAGGCGCTGAGACTGACTGACGCGCTTCAAATGCACAGCGCGGCACAGTGTGCGGCGAGTTGCGCCTGTGGGGCGAGCGACAGCTACCGCGCTCGCGTACGTTGCGAGCAACGAACGTCAGCCGCCTGCGCTGCCACCCGCCGCGCGGGTCAGTCAACGACACCACGCCGCGCCCATCCGCGGCCATGTCCTCCTCCCCATTCCCGCCATCATTCTTGCCCGAGGCGGGGGAGCGCTTCCGCGCGCTCTCGGCGTACGTCGAAGATACGGGCGAGGGGCCGGCAACCATCTACACGGTGCAGACCTCCTCGGCGACGGTGGTGGAGGTGTCCACCCATCCGCATCCCAACATCGGCGTGCAGGTCTGGCTCCATCTGGATGCCGCGCACGATGGGACAAACCCTCCCGCCGCTACCGTCGGGCTGGACGCAATCGCCCGGGCTGGCAATAGCCCCCACTTGGGGCCGGCAGCGGTGCGTGTGCTCTTGGCACATGCACGTGTGCTGTTGCAGCTTCCTCATAACGGCAGCAAGATGAAGAAGATGTTCGAAGATGGATCAGGAAATCGTGTAGAGATGGATTGGTCACATCAAGATGTAAGGGCGGTCATTTAAATCATTTGCAGTGGTTGTACTCCACGCGCTTGACCAACAAAGCTAGTGGCATGTTCTTTTGCAGTACTCCCATGCACTGGTTGCATTCATGATCTATTAAAAGGCAACAAAACTCTTTCCACCATACTCGCAGTAGCACTTTGTGGTGGTCAGTGTGAAACTGGGCAAAAAATTGCTGCCCTAAGAACATAAGAAATGCTAGCCCAAGGAAGGTTTCATTCACACACTCAATGTGCCAATATTAGTAAATCATACACATCAGGGTATGCCAGCCCCTGATTGACTTTCCACTTGCATAAAATACTATAGAAATATGGGTTTACTACAGTTTTAAGGTATACATGCGAACTGCCCAACTTCCACACCATAAATTTGTTGGTGCAAGTATTTAGATTAGGATGGACCAACTCGGCACTCACACACTCTAGCCCCATAATCAAAAACCTTCCAAAGACTTTCCCACCATAGAAATATGCAACATTCTTTCATGTAAGCACCCACCACATAGTTTCTATATACACTTAAATAAAGACAACCCAAATTACATGCATATATAAAAGGTTACAACCTGCATGCAGTGATTTGCATTCTACATTTGAATAAACTCTTTGCAGATGCCGACCCTGCCCTTCGTCATGTGTAATTACACATAACCTTACTTACTTTCTATTCCTGGTCAGACAAAATTGTAAGGGTTGGGCCCGGAACATTGTACATTAGGGTTACGGGGTGCTGTATATTATAGACGTGAGACATTGTATATTAAGAACTCCTTGGAAACGTTGTATAATAGAGTTTATTAAGGGCGTTGGGCTGGATGTGCACAAAATAGACAAAGGGAGAGATGCCGCATTGGTCGACACGGGAAAGGCGCGACTCAGGGACTAGTGGGTCAGCGGGGCAGAAGGACAAGGGACATAAATGCTCAAATTATAAAGGTGGTGGATCTGCCAGAATTAGGGTGACTCACCCTATTCTAGCATGACCCTTGGGATGCCTTGGGAAGGTGGGTATAAATATAAACATACCGAACCAGTTTGTAATCGATGTTGCTGCCTGAATTCTGTCCGACCGGTCCCCGACTCGAACGGGAAAACCAGGCCATCTCCCGTCCGGCCAAAAAGGCTCTCGCCCCTTACAAGAACTGACCTTCTGTCACGGGGCCCGTCGGCCCCCACTGGTTTCAAAGTGCTGAGGTCCCCACACCCTCCCACGCAGCCCTGTTCTTGGGTTGCGCCTCTCACCCCACTTCGGGGTGGCGTTTCCGGGGTGCTCGTTTCTTCGGTCGTGCGGTGGGCTCAATGCTCAACAGGAGATCGTCCCCGGAGCCTGCTGTTCACGGCTGGTGGTGGCACGGCGCGGGGCAGTGGTCGCTGGCTTGCGGGAGGCCAGAGAGTGGGCACAAAATCGATACATGCGATCGCGGGGGTACGCGCTCAAACCCGCATGTGCACGGCCCGATGGCGGGTCCCACGCGGTCACATCAAGACATGGGAGTTCAATGCACGTCCAGGCACGTGTCCACAACCCCCGATTCACCCATAATACCCTAATTAACCTTTAATGCTCACCGCTAATGGTCCGAACTTAGTGCCCTATAGTACAGGAACTTCAGGAGGCCATAACTTCGCCGTTTCTACACGGAATTAGACGTTTTATAGCGGAAATCGCATTAGGAGCTCTTCATTAAGTCGATTTCAGCGTATTTCACCTCTTTGACTTACTCCCACTCCAGAAATGCCAAAAATAGCCTTACCCCAAGTAAAATCACAACACCTTTGGCAAATCCCTAATAACTAAAATGGCAACTCCCGTCTGCCATGCACAGTTCGTGCACACAGGGCAGCTGCATAGATCGCCAGTATCTGCAGACCGAATCACAAACCCACAAGTCGGCAGCAAAGAGGCAGCAAAGCCCAAATTGACAGGTGCTTGTTACGAGGCTCTTGTAAGACAAAGGGTAGCACCTCAAACTCACAACAACCCTGATACATGAAGATTGTGGGTGCGGGGCTCCTACCCTCTTTGAACCTGGACTCGCCTCGCCGGGCACCTAGGTACTTATGGAGACCTAGGTGGGACCACCCCGACCTACTCCCATATCATATACTATTGTATAAATTGGTTGGGGTGTTGTTACCATATCTTGGGTAAGGTGTCCCCCACACCAAGGAGCCAATAGTAGGGTGTCCCCCACATCAGGCTACTGTGCATAACAAACCCCTCTATACCTGTGCTGGGATCTCCCCACCCCTTTCTCTTCCTAATATGTCATATTAATCCCCCAGACAAATTACACCGTGAGCACGGCATCTTTCACACCAGTTACAACCTACCCCCAAACACCCTAACTACCCCACTACACAACACAATTACCCGGGTCCCTCTAATCCCTCACACCAGGGTTTGCGCCTGCTTCTGCTCTGTGGCAGTCTCCACGGAGTTTTCACTCTGCCCCTGCTTAGTCCCTTGCACTTCCTATTCTGCGAATGCCTGTACCCGGGAATCCTCCAAGCCGGTGAACTCTTCCCAAAACCGAAGTAGACGCCAGAACATGTCATCTCTATCCCTCTTAAAGTCCTTCACAATCCAAACATTATATCAAATGAGAAGTATCTCTTTGCCGGTTTCTTCCTCAAGCTACAGACCCCTCTGCTTCACAACTTCTGCTCCCAGTTCCGCTAGCGATTGCATGACCGCCTTGAGGTGGGCTTCTCCGCTTACGCCAATAGTAGACACTTCCCCCCACCACGCATCAAGCTGCTCGGTTGCTGGTGGAGACCGTGTCCCTTCTGGTTGCATGGCTCGCTCTACCAAATTGGATGTGCCGAAGTCTTCCATCCGTACCTCCGTATAACTGCCTCCCATGCCATGCCCATCTTGCTGTAGGTTCGCTATTCCCGCATTGTGCTCCTTCGCCATTCAATTGCCTGACCGGCCCGCAATTGGCCCCTCCACAATTGTAAGGTTCGGGGCTATTCTGAGGAGGATGGCTCGCACTTCCAAAACCGATTTTCATGGCTTGGTCGCTCTACGATGAAATTGCCAAGGCATGCGCCCATTTCTCCCACCTCTTTGCGGAGGATATCGCGCCACCATTTGAATGGGTGTGCACCTTTGCTCGATGCATTTGCTATCCTGCTGGCTTCACGGGCTAGTGTGTGTGGAGCATTTTCTTTATCCCACATGGCCATGCTGTAGTATAGAAAGGCCATGGTTTGCTAGTCTAGTGGTCACCCTTCCAATTCACACAACGGGTTCTAGTTTAACCCGAGTGTGGCCCACGGCCTGGTCGGCAATTGGTGTAACACAGATACTCCACGGCACAGACATTCGCTAGGGGGGGTCACCATATAGGAACCATGCCTTCTTCTCTATTTTCCTTACTTCAAACATGTGTTATTGCTAATCTATTGGCCCTAGGTATAAAATCGTGCTTTTAACATATCTCCCAAATGCAACAATGGGATGCACATATTTTTCCTTCATACTACATTTTTGTTTTTTTGGCTGTCAAACATCTTCATTTCTTTTCAGCATATGCAACCATTTTTTGGTCATCATTTTTGTAAAGATGACTTGTAATGCATGCCATTTTGCTATAAACTAAATAATGCCCATTGTCACATATATGACAAAGCTGCACATGCCAACCCCCTTTAGAAGTGGGCCTCGCCAAATGGGGTTGGGATAGGAATGTGGATGGTGTCTGTTCCCGTCCCAAGAACGGACCCGTTCCCGTTCCCATCCCAGTCCGTCCCAGTCCATTCCAATTCGTTCCTGGGCCATTCCCCAAGAACGGATTTGGACCGGATCTGCGTCAGGTAGGAACAATGTTGGAACAGACCCATTCCTGCTCAGGGACGGATCTGTCCCGGCTTAGAAATGGATCTATTCGTAATATGAAACAACCCCGTCCTTGTCCATTTAGGTCCATTCCAATCTATTCCCCATGAACGGACAATGCAAATTCTAGGTCTTATGAGTTAAAGGGGGCCACTGGCAGACCATTGCAAGTTTGGGAGGCAATCGCAAGGCCGGATTCAGGACCGGGAGACATATTTTGCACAGAACACCTGGCTTGCAACAAGGCCAACATGCATGTTGCCCAATGTAAGTTGGACACATAGCCACAATTGAGACAAGTCACACACATGCCCATAGTCCAATTCAAGACAAGCCAATGGAACCCGGAAAATTTACAACTTGTAATTTACAAGTCAGTGTTACCGCACAAGAACATAAGCTACTCAATGCGTTCGTCCCCCAAAGATGCCCGCTGAGATCGCACAGTATGGCCGGATACCGAGAAGCCCCGTTCTGACGCACCATTTCCGGCCAGCACACACAATGAGTGCCATGCCACACATGCCACTATGGGCCATCGAGCACTATTCCATACCCAATAATCTAGTGCCTCCTCCTCTCGTGGGGCACCCGGCTCACACAAACTTTAATGTTTTATCAGAAGCTTTTAAATATGTCACGCATTCAACCACTGTATGGCATGCATCAGTTTACCACCTACTGCAGTGGCTGCAGGTTGGCTAGGCCCCATGGCACCGCTTGCCCTTGTGCCCCGGCCCCACCTTGCATCATTGTCTTCCTCGGATATGGTGTCAAACGGCTTGTGTCCCGTGTGCTTCTCCCTTGGCTTCTCCCACTGTTTGCACAT